TACCAAAAAAAAAAAGTCCCATCACCTGCAGGAGAAGCTGAGCTAGGGGTAGGTCCCTGCAGGAGGGAACTATTTCATAGGATGGCTGAGAGGCCTGACTCATTGTTGCACACAGAATCTGTAAGGTAAAAGAGTTTCCTTATTTGTTATGGATGCAAAACCAGGCAGGTGTGGGGGTTGGGATATAACTTGTTTTGTCCATACAGCTCCTGCAACAGGGGCTGGTTTTACAAGATAAGGCAGGCTCCAAAATTTCCGAAGCTGTTTCCTCAGCCCCATTACCTCACCTTTACCTCAGTTTTGTCTTCCCTGAGTAAACTGCCAAGCAGGTAGGAGAAATTTTCCCACCTAGCCATCTCTGCCCTTGCCAGCCCCAGGTTGCATTCCACCAGAAAGACAGTGTAGAGAGCAGTTCTCTGCCTGTCCCTGCAGCCTGGATCCTTCATGGGTAGTGACAGCAGGAAAAAGGACAGCCTGGAAGCTGTTAGGCCATCAGGACCCTCCTCCTGTTCCTTTCAACCATAGACCTTAGCAAAATACTTAGCTACTCAGCTATTCTAAGTCTTGTTTTCCTGTATGTAAGTGGGGCTCATAATGCCTGCCTTTTGCTAATGACTAGTTCAGTGGTCTGTACACTTTTTTAAGCACATATATTCTTGTTCAATTTAAATGTCAGGAGAAATTCCAGTATATTAAAAAAAAAAAAAACTCTGTTGGAGGGCTGAAGATATAGCTCTGGGGTAGTGTACTTCTTATCATGCATAAGGCCCTGGATTCAACTCCCAGCACTGCCACAATAAAAAAGAAATAACTTTGTTGGAAGCAGAAGTAGATTGCCCAAGGACTCTGCCTCCAAATCCTGGGGGACTCAGGGAATCCAAAATGGAAAAACCTGGCTGCAACTCTGGCACACAGCATGGGAGCTAGCTGGAAATGCTACCGCAACAAGAGGTGCATCAAAGCTGGGTGTATTTCCACAGGAAGCCACAGTAGGAATGGGGAATTCTCCACACATGAGTTCCTTGGGGGATCTAAGAGGGAAAAGGTACCACAGATGCCCACTGTCTTACCCTTACTTTGATGTCCTGCAGGAAGGGGATGAGGAAATGACAGACATCCTTGCTGTGACTGCCTCTCACCTGTTAAACAAAGTTGCTCTTAGTTCTTCCCACAGAACATCTTGTTCTACCCTGTACCTGCTAGCTGCTCTTTCTCTAATCTCACTCTAAATGCTCTTTCTCTAAATCTTGTCCATCCAAATCTGACTTGCCTTTGAGTTGACACTGTCACATCTGGGAAGCTTTCTGAGTAGCATTTCCTTTTTTCTTGCCTCCTTTAACAGCAGCTGTTCATTATGATGTTGTGGTCTCTCTTCCACCCCACAGTTCCTTCAAACACTGGCACATAGTAGGTGTCCACCAAATACTTACCCGGGTGACCAGCAGGTGGCCCCACATCCCAATTAACCTGTCTTGTTGCCTGTCAAGTCCTCTGAGCCTGAAGAATCAGATTTCCTTGCGTCACCAGCAACTTTCTCCAGGTCAGAGAACACAAGGTGAAGCAGGCAGAGTACTGGGCAGCTGGATACATTACCTAACACATACTGGTAACCAAGGGCTTTGGGCTTGGCCCCTCCTCTCACCTTCTCCACCACATCCCTGTCCCACCTTTGTAAATAAGACTCCTCTCTCAAGAAAGGAAATTGAGGCCTTATGAAGTGCATGGTCCTCCTGAGACTCCAGACCTTCACAGACCATCAGCTAGGGGTAGCATATCTGCCAAGGGTGCTGAAGTAACCTGGTCCTCTTCTTTTGTTGTTTGTTTGAGGGTTTTGGGGGGGTGATTGTTTTTGTTTTTTATAGACAGGGTCTTGCTATGTAATTCAGGCTGGCTTTGAGCTGTCTATGTAGCCCAGGTTGGCCTCAAACTAGTGGCAATCCTCCTGCCTCAGCCTCCCAAATACTGGGATCATAGGCAACCTGGTCTTCTTTAATCAATATTTTACTGATGAAAACCTCAAAATGAGATTAGCTTTGACCAAGGCCTCAGGTAAATCTAAATGATTCCATCCCATCATACACACAGGTGGGTGGTGGGCTTCCTATCTGCTTATCTAAATTGTAAAAGGTAAGCATGCTACCAGCCCAGTAGGACAAAAAGAAGAATTTCACCCTCCTGGGCTTGAAGTTAGCTGTGAGGACCCAGTTGGAATGCAGACACTCAGCCTAAGGCAACCAGGACTGGAGACAGCCACACAAGCCCCTCTGCCCACCTCCCATACCCACTAGGAAGAGTTTTAAGCACGCCTGAAAACGTTGAAACCCCAACAGATACTGCAGTAGGCTGCATTTTGAGGTTGAATTCTTTTGTTGCAGTGGAAAGGCTGAATAGAGGGCAAGGGTGGAGAGGGGCTGGTGTACTGGTATAGAATAGCAATAAGCCAGGCTGCTGGAAGTCAGCCAGCATCAGGTTCTGAGGACACAGTCAGGTCTATGTCTCTCTCTCTCTCTCTCTCTCTCTCTCTCTCTCTCTCTCTCTCTCTCTCTCTCTCTCTCTCTCTCTCTCTCTCTCTCTCTCTCTCTCTCTCTCTCTCTCTCTCTCTCTCTCTCTCTCTCTCTCTCTCTCTCTCTCTCTCTGTGTGTGTGTGTGTGTGTGTGTGTGTGTGAGAGAGACCTCTTATGGAATTCTTTAATACAAATTCCCAAGAAAATCACTACAAAGTCCATGCAAATGCCTGGATTAGATGATGTAAACACATGGCCACTTGGCTTTTTAGCTTACCTGACAGCAACTGAAGTCAGAAATTTGCTTCCATCTAGGGGTGTGACTTAACCAGACATCTAACCTCCCAGTCCTGGCTTATGAGAACTTCATCTAAAGCCAGAGATCAGGGGGCCAGGCCCTGGACTAGGCTTGTCGTGGGGCCAGATTTCTCATGAGCTCTTGGAAGTGGCCAGGTAAACAGAAAAAAAAGAGCAATCCTTCCATTGTCTCACCTGCTATAACAAACTACTCTGACCTGGTCACAGGAAGGGGAATGCTCCCTACACAACAGTAAAGGGCCAAATGTGACCAATAAGAATCCTTCTCTGGGACTGGCAGGTAGATACCTGATCAGATGGCAATCTCCTCCCAGACTTCTGCAGCGGTGGTCTTACCTATAGAGAAGGTTGATGCACTGGGGGATCTAGGCCAGCCCAGTAAGAAGCCTAAACTGGCAGAGCCAAGGGACAGACAGGGACTGAGGTCCTGGGCCCAGCTGTGTTGCTTTCAACCCTGTAACCTTCCTGGCCTCCAAAGTATAGCCTCTCTCCTAAAGGAGAAGGGGAAGTGGGAAGGGTAGGGGAAAGGGAACAAGAGAAAAGGAAAAAAAAGAGAAAATTAAAAAATGGAAATAAAGCATTTGTAAATAGGAAAGGGAGGAAGGGGTGAAGGGAGGACAGGGATAAGGGCAAAAAATGAGAACTAAGACCTGTCATGTAAAGGTACAAGATCCCAATGATGAATGTAACTGTACTGTATACCTAAAATGTACCAATAAACTCAATGAGAAAAAAATAAAAGTATAGCGCCTCCTTTTGGTTTAAGCTTCCCCACAACACCTCTTCTTGCTAGAGCCATGTCTTTCCTTCATATACCACATCTAGGCCATGATTCAACACATTTTTGTGTGGTTTTGTCCTTTGACCAAATAAATGTAAACTCCTGGGTGAATACCTAGTCTGAAACTTTCACTGCTGCCTTCTTCGCACCCAGAATGGAGTTTCAGGTGCAGTGGGTACTCAGTAGCTAAGTGAGGAAATCCCTCTGCATCCTGCAACTCTCACTAGATGGACTCTATACATCTTTGAGTCTGGCCAGTATTCCATCAGAGTCAGAGAATATGATAGAAGGGTTGGGCTGAACCACAGACTCCACAGGGATCCTCAAATTCATCTAGTTGCTCTCCTGTGAAGCACAGTGCTAGAACTGAGGCCCTGAAGGCCCACATGATGTTATCCTGGAGGACAGACCCTTGGGAGTAACACTTATGGGTGGAGAAGGCCTGATTTTTCTGAAAAGAAAGTCCCAGAGATAGATTTGGGGTTGGACTGCTTTTTCTTCAGACATTAGGTATTTCTGTCCTTCCTGATGAGTAAAGATACTGGAGTGGCTAATGGAAGTTGGGCATGAGCCATGCCCCAACAACACCACTAAGTGCTTCCCATACATGTCTGCTCAAATACCCCAGATGACTATGAGGTGGGTGCTCTCATCACTAGTACACAAGCTGCAGGAACAGATGGAGGTGAGGAAGCTGAAGGACTTTTCCAAGGTCACTGGGCTGGGAAGCAGCAAAACATCTCCTGAGTGCTGCCTGTCCTGTCTTCTTATATCTCCACACCCTCCCCACTCCCTGGTGGGGGCGGGGAGCATTGCCTATGTCAGATGAGCTCGTGGAAAACTTGGAGATTTCAAGATTGAAGGTGGGGGGGAAAAAAGCCACAGCAAGCTCCCTTGAGGCTGCCCGCAAGGGCTCCCAAGGGGTGAGGGTACACTCTTGCTGGAGTAGTGAAAAGACAGTCTTCCAGCACCCCGCCCCCTCCCCTCCTCGATATTCTCGCTGCCAAATGAAATCTGGCAGCTTCTGAAAATAGCTCAGTGCTGCAGCAGGCACTCTGCCTGCCCTTCAGCAGGCTGGCACGCAGCTGGGGGTGGCCACTGTGGGCAGACACTGGCACACACAGGGCCAGGAGTAGGTGTCACACATACAGTGCACAGGGGCGGCACAGAACTGGAGGCATGTGGCAGCTGCCATCCCTCAGCGCCTCTGACCTTTCCTCGCCTAGTAAGGCTGCAGTAGCTCTGGAGGCAGCCTGGAATGTTTATCAGGCCCGAGGCACCCTCTCTAGCCAGAGTGAAATCACTAGTAGGGATGTACAGCTGCCCTTTGGCCACTTTTGTCCATCCATGTAGACAAAGAGAAGCCCAGGAACCAGGAGAAAATGTCAAAATGGTGTTTATTAATATCCAGATATAAAACTCGGCAGCACTGTCCTGGCTGACACCATCTAGAGCAGTGGTGATGAACCTATGGCATTCATGCCACAGCAGGTTGTTTGTATCACTGAAAACGCTAAAAGGTTAGCTATCACTGGTCTAGGAATTCCCAGTCAGTGCAAGAGGCCAGGAACCAAGAATTACACTGAGTGTCAGGTACTTGTCAGGCCCCCTATCAAGTACTTAGCATCTCAAGTATACTCCAGGTTGGGTGGAGCTGGATAACCCTGAATTGGCCAGGAAGAACTCCAACTCAGGTTGTAGCCAGGATCTACTTAAGTAGATCAGTAACCCTCTACTACCTCAGGTCTGACCTAGAGCATGGAAAGAGATTCCTGGTTAATAGGAATCCAACTATAACCTCTCACAAAAGTATACCAACTTTCAGCCCGCCATCAGTAGAAGGGCTTTCCTACCTGGGATTTAGAGAGGACAGATCTGGTGAGGTGGGGCTGGGGACTTTTGTCACAGTGACTTTTTCCAAAGTGGGAAAAGGTTAAATGTCTCCACCTTTGGCTGAGATGAAAAACCACCCTTTGAGTAGTGGGTAGTGATAAGATGGCCAACCCAGGGACTTCTTGGGGGAAAGCTCTGCGTGTCATCTGGATTTGGGCTGCAGCAAAGCAGGGCTGGAACACCAAAAGAGGCAGATAAGCTAGACCCTCAGCCTCAGGGACATCAAAGAGGGGTGAGTTTGAGAGGGGCAGCCAGTGTAAGAGAGACCAGACTCCCCAAGAAGACAGAGGTAGACTCTTGATTGTCCCTTCTCTCTCCCTTGTTACACTCAGCATTTAGAGACTAACATGGTCCCTGATCACCATGGCAACCGATGGCCAGATCCTTTCTCAGAGCCAAGTCTATCTGCCTGCCCAGCAGGGGGCTATCTCCCTTGAAGAAGGGAAACCCAGCCACAATTCCCAGTGGCCTAGAAGGCTAAAGTCATGTCCCCAGCTCAGAGCAAGACAAGTCCCACCTTGGCCAAAAGTGCTTTGATTCAGCAGGGGGCTCTCTGTGAGGCCAGAGTCTGGGTTGCAGCTCTGAAAATTTTGGCTCCAGATCATCCATCTCAAAGGTCTAAGTGAAAAACAACAAATAATCCTTGTGTTAAAATGACCCTGAGCCCTCTGGTAGAGTCTTGGCACAATGCAGTCTGTCACCCAGGTCAAGGCCTGGCTCCTCCAAGACTCCATGGACTACTGGTTGTTGCAGCCCTGTGAAGTTGAGGAGCTGCCTGCCTGTTTTTTTCTCCGCTTGTTGAGGAGCCGGTTGTTAGAGGTCTTCAGGTCCTTGATTTTCACCTGGTCATAATCGACCCGCATGGTGGCCAGGGCACTGGTCATCTCCTCCTGAGGACGGATGGCATAGAGGACAAAGAGGTCAAGATAAACTGACCTTAACCACCATCACCCTCTTGCCTGGACAGCCCCTTAACACCATCATGATGACAATGACAGGCTGTGTTGCCACCCTGCCCACTGTGGCTGGCCCTTTGTGTCTCATAATCTTCCCTAACTCCTTAGTGGCAGACACTGAGCTTAACCAGTAGGGTACAGAAAAGTAGTGACTCCCTGTGATCACACGAAGGGTAAATGAGACAAAGACCTGAGCCAGTGCCACTTGCCAGAACACAAGGACTCCAGAGAATACCATCTTTCTGGGCCTGAAGATTGTGCCCTGGGTACCCCATGGTTCTTAGCTGCTATCTCATATGATCGAATATTGCATCTTCTAAGTCAGAAGATAGAGGGTCATTGCTTGGGCCCAAAGCCTCATTCATTGAGGGAATGAGCCAGGAGCCCCCACCCTGAATGGTGTAATCCAATACTTGGAATGTCATGTATAGATCACTGGGGCAGTCACTGACACGCTGTGTTCCAGGCAAGAGGAGTCAAACACCCAGACTCTGGGGAGCTACCACCCTGGAAACTGTAGGGAGATTGAGGCAAAGTCTACACACCTTGACGTCATCCCAGTGGTCTTTGTCCTCTTGCAGTACTCGGGCCGTGTGGAGTGGGGTCTGTGGCACCACCATTGATTGCTGGAAAGATCCCCAAACCCTGGATTAGAGCCTTGAGGCATGTGCAACAGCACGGGCTATCCTCACCATCCCTGCTTCTCCCAGTCTCAAATGGGGAAACCAAGGCTCAGAGAGGTGAAGAAGCCTGAGTGGGGCAGTAACAACACCAAGCTATAGGTCAGGGGATATTACACATCTGTATTCAGGGGTCCATTTCAGCACTATACCTGATTCCAGAGCCACCACCCTCCTTCTTGGAAGCCCTGCTCCAGCCCAATATCCTGCTGGCTATAGATGCTCACATTGATCCAGGGATGGTTCATGAACTGGGTGATAGTCAGCCTCTCTGTAGGGTCTGTCTTCAGCAGTAGGCGAATCAGCTGCTTGGCTAGAGAGACCAGGAAAGAGAGGAGGGTGGTGAAGTTGCAGCCCCCTGCCCCTCCCCACAGACTACAAATTTTGCTGGCCCAGAGCTGCACATGCTACAATGTTCCTAACCTACAGGTACAGCAAGCTAACTATTTCCTGTTTTAAACCACTAAGTGTTCAGGATTAATTTATTAAGCAGCAATAGGTAACTAATGCAACGCAGACCTGTTTGTAGTCCCCAGATAGGAAAATGTGAATGAGGAATAAAAGGGGTGGGTAGGAAGTAAGCCCATTTGGCAGATGTAAAAACTAAGGCTTGAAAAGGTTAGGTGACTTGGATCACACTGCTAGGAACCCAAGGAGCCAAGATTTGAACACAGGTTATTTTTCCACCAAAGAACCATGGGGGCCACATGGACAGAAAGGCTCACTCACCATCCTCGGAGACCTCAGACCACTCAGGATTGGGGAAGCCATACTGGCCCAGGCGGATCCTCCTCTTCATCCCTGGGGAGATGGCCTGGCCCGTATTGGAATAGAAGGGTGGGAAGCCACACAGGCTGGGGGAAGGAGGAGATCATTCAGCATAAGGATGGGGCAGTGCTAGGGCAGACCCATTTTCCACCCAAGCCCCTCATTGAGGAGGCAGGCAGCCAGACACCATGGCACTATACCAGCACTCTGGACTCGCATGCATAGCACCATCAGCCCTCAGCATGGGCAGAGCCCTCAGACAGCCAGAAGGAATGGTGTCTCATGACCAGAAAGGAAGGACAATCTGCCCAAGGGGGCAGGGGTCACACACAAGACCCTCATTGAGGACATAGGGGTTGGGGAACAAAGTGGTTCTAAAGATGTATGTTGTGGGTAGAGGCAGGAGGCCAAGATGGGGGGCTGAATGGTACTCACAGAATGTACATAATGACACCCAAGGACCACATGTCACAGGACTTGTCATACTTCTCTGGACCCAGGACCTCAGGGGCTGCGAGGGCAGAAGATATAGGAGGGCTCTCAGCCTCAAAGGTCTTAAGACCTAGGCAAGCGCTTGAAGCCTGATCAAGGTGAGGAGCAGGTGCCTGAGCTAGGAGGTGGGACACAGCAGATTGGTGTCTGGCACCTTCTTCAAGAAGGCAACATGTGTGTGAAGTTCAGGAAGAAGAAACAGCTCCCAGAAAAAAAAAAAAACTGCTTTCAGACAGCCCCCTAGCTCCTTTGTGCCCTGAGCCCCTCTGCCAATCTTGACCTTGGTGAAGGTGAAAATAGGGAGGAGGCCACTCAGGAGCCCAGTGAAGTCTGCCATAGGCCAGAGGGCCTCAGCCCACCAGCTGTCCTATGTCCCTTGCCTCCTTGAACACACAGTGAGGTCACAGGCAAGGAGGAGCCAGGAGCAGGGCTCTGCATTCCACTGTTCGTTTGAGGATCAACCCACTGTGTCTTGGTCTTCCCATCTGTGCATTGAGGTCAGCAAGTCAAAAGATTTCTAGGTTAAAATACTTCAACTTTCATCCTAGCATTTCAGCTGTCTCAGGGGGCTTCCCTCCCTTTCGTCAGGCTTCTCCTGAAGAAAAGCTCTATCACCACCAATTCATAGGCAAGGGGCACTTTTACCAGAGGCCTTTCCAGATCTAGGGGCTGCTGGGAGCACAGCTGTCGGCATGAGTATGAATATATACACCCCCAATCACCCTTCCAGTCCTGGCTCCCTCTCCCACAAAGCAGGTGACTAGTCCCCTGTGTCCTTCTAATGTAGGGGGAAAGGCCTGCCTACTTTCTGCATATGAATCCCAGGAAGCTGAAAACCAGAGAAAAACAACCGGTTGGGCTTTGTCCCAAGCTGATGGCAGCCTTTTATCACATATATATTTAGAGCTGCTGTGATGTCATTCAGCTCACAGGCCACAGCCAGAATTTTCCTGGATCTATTTTCAAAAGCAGAAGCTGAAGTTTGGGAGAATATTTTTGCAGCCTCCGGCCCCCCACTTCACCCGCCTCCATACAGACAGAGTTCTCCCTCCCTTCTTTTTGAGCTTTAACGCTTTGGTTTCCACAACTCCCAGGCTGCCCTGAAGCATAGCAGCAAATGGTGCAGATGGAGAGCTACAAACCATATCCCAAAGACTCACCCACATAATAGGGAGTGTAGCAGGGCGTCTGTAAAGCATTTTGGGTGGTCTCCTTGGCAAAGCCAAAGTCAGTGAGCTTAAGCACAGCATCTTTCTCCTTGGATGTGTAAAGCAGGTTTTCAGGCTGGGCAAGAAAGAAAAAACATGTATAGAGTTAGTTAGGTGCCAGATGGAGGCAAAACCCCAAAGCAGTCTTTATTGACTTTCCATACCCATCACAATGCAGAAAGAGGAAGCCCCATCTATCTCATAAAAGACCTGGGCCTTGGCCATTGACAACATATACCAAATATAGAGAGGCCAAGGTGCCTGGGAAGTGACGTCTACATTCTCAGAGGGGAAAGTGAGACAGGTGCTCAGCCAAGGCTGTGAGTGTTCAAGTGCCATGGAGCATATAGGAGTGGGAATTTGGTAAGGCTGCCATGAAACACCAGAAAGAGGGTGTATGGGAAGGCAGACTTCTCAGAAGCCAGCATTGCCCAGGATGTGTCCCACACCCAGACGTGATGGAAGCCTGCCAGGCCAGCAGGCCAGCCTCATCTGAGGTTGCCCAGGGGAGAAGGGCCCTGTTGCTCAGAACCTATGCAGAGGCAATTCTTAGCAGTTACAAAGTACAGATGAGCATGGCAATAGGTTCAGTGGGAAGGGCTACATGGAAGAAGCAGCCCCAAAGCTGACTTCTAATCAGTGAGTAGGATTGAGGCCCATGCTAAGATATAGGAGGGAGCCCCAAATTCTGCAGGGTATTGAATGGAGCTCCAGGTTGGAGCTTGTAGGAGCTATTTCAGAGGGTGTGACCTTGGATTGGGATAAAAACAGAGAAGCTGGTTTAGCATATACAAAGGCATCTACTCAGCAGAAGGATTTTCTCAGAGCAAAAGGGAAGCCAGGGACAAAGCAAAGCAAGGATTCAGAAGGTGGGTCTGCTGTGGCTCCACATGTATTCTGAGTCAAAGGACAATCGTATGGAATGATAACACTCAGCCAAAGGAAGAACCTGGTGCAGCAGTTTCCCTCAGCCCTCCTCTGACTTAGGCTAAGGAAGGTAATGCTCTAGGTCTGGGGAGAGGGCCCAAGGGAGGCAGATTCTGCTATGATGGTGGTTTACACATGCATGTTTATGTAGGCACATGCATGTGTGTGCATGTAGGGTTGCCCAGGAAGAACTAATTTTTCCAGGAAAAGAAATTTAGAGCACTTAGCTTCCAGAATATTTCTCAAGTTCATCCACTGGGAAAGCAAACAGACCTAACAATTGGGCCTACTTGAATATCATCCTCCACTGCCCATCAAATGGCTTCTTTCTGTTAAAAGGCTAGTGTTTGAAGGCTGAGTCTACTAAAACTATAACTCTGACTCCACAGAAGACTCAACAGCATTAAACAGCTCCTGCCTGACCTCTGAAACACCACATGGTCACAAAATATGTTGCTGAGAATGTGGATGGATGGATCGATGGATAGATGGATGGATCAATCCTCAGGCAGCAAGTTCATGCCTTAGGCAAGCCACTTAATCTCTCTCCGGTCCTCAATTTGCTCATCTGTGGAATGGGTAGTGGTCCCTATCTTATAGGGCCCCATGAGGATTCAATGAGATGCTGTCACTGTATACTGGCAGGAGGCAGGCAGTTGGTTATTCTTATTACTACCAGAATTACAGTGTTTGGAGGAAACAAGGAGCTCCATCTGGCAAGAGCAAAATGAATATGCTGGAGCCTCAAGAGGGGAGGTTAAGAACAGTCTGGGCCAGGGAGCAGTCTTTGAACACTGAGCAAGGAACTTAGCTTCCATCCACGGGGTGCTGGGAGCCATCAGGAGTTAATAAGTAGTAGAATAATATAAAACCTCCTTCCTTGGTCCCCCCCGTGTCTTAGGGCCTTACCTTGACATCTCGGTGGGCGATATTCTGGCTGTGCAGGAACTGAATGGCGGTGCCAATGTCCCGCATTATCCCTGCAGCCTCTACAGACATAGATTGGAGAAGTCACTGATGCCAGTCAAAGGTCAGGAAACTTGGGGGCCCCCACCCTATCATCTGTCTTGGGCATGATCTAGCAGACCAGCACAAGACAATAGTCCTGTGACTCCATCCTAGACCCCACTCCCAGACACCCCAGTTTCCTCTAAGAATGCTCCTAGCCCATCTGGGCCTCTTCCTTCAAGCCTAGGCTACCTTGCCCAATTCCACAGTGGATCAGTACCAAGAAGCTCCCAGGGCCATGGAGAATATGTGCCCAATAAAATGTCACAGATTCTTTGAAGCTCTTGGAGGTATAGGAGATTCTGTCCTATCCTCTCTTGTTCTGATGGAAGCACAGAGAGGAGCAGGGCCTTGCCTAGCATCACACAGTGACTCTGGCACATCTTTCTCACCCTGTTTCCCCACACTGCTCCAGCTGCCTGCACGTACCTCTCTCAGTGAAAGCCTGGTCGCCACGCTCCTGAATCCTACTAAACAATTCACCACCTTCCATGCTGCAAGAGAAGATGACTATGAATTGAGAGGAAGATGAGGCATTCACCTGCCCCTGCCCTGGCTCAGAGACCCAAGCTCCAGGCCCTACTTCTCCTTAGCTACTATCAGCCTCCCTGTGCCTTGAAGAACCTGGTACACAGTGGGCTATCAGCTTGGGTGAGTTGATCTGAATTTTTAGGACACAAGGAAAGGTGGTAAGCTCAGAACCCTACCAGGAAGCCCCTTTTTTCCCAGGGACACTGTCTTCACCTGGCTATGAGACTTTATGAAATTGCAACCCAGCCCAAGTCTATTTCCTGAAACGTGGAATGAGATGTCAATGATCACCATTATACCCAGCTGTTAGCTAAGTGCCTGCTGTACACTGTTCCCTGGGTTCTATCCTTCATGTGCACTGCTGTGTGATCCTGGACTGGTTCCTTCACTTCTTTGTGCCTCAGCTACCTCTTTTGTAAAAGAAGAATAATAGCACCAACCTCACAGAGTCATGAACATTGAATATGTAATACACACGGGCACTTTGAATAGAGACAAGCTCAGAGTGAATACTACTTGAAGATGTTCCTCTACATCTTACATGTGAGTTACAGAGATTCAGAAAGATTAGGAGCTGCCCACAGTCCCACAGTCAGTGGGCAACAGAGTCAGGATCTGAATCCCAACTCTAAATATCTGGCTAAACTGCAAAGGCAGGAAGGACTTGAAAGACAGATAGGGAGGAAGTGAGGCCCAGGTGGGACCCTCAGGACTGAGGAAGGCTGGATCAGAGGTGCACGTGCCAGTGGAAGAAGCCTAGATGGAGGAGGCTGCTGGCTCCTGGTCTTCGAGCTCATCACCTGGCATCTGGTGGGACCATGGGAAAACAAACCCAGTAGGAAAGAGATAGCTGAAAGAACTATATGGGCTACACTCTTCTTCAAACCCTCCACCCTCACCATCCAGGGCTTGGCAGCCCTCTCTGGCAGCTTCCCAGCCCTCCTCGCAGAGTGGAAATCATGCCCAGGGAGGCCATGGGAGAGTCATGTGACCTCCCACCTGGAGGGAGTGCCCTGGTGGCCAGCAGGGCTTGTAGCTATCCACTCTGCCACCCTTTACGGGCTGAGTGGAACCCAAAGCTGCTGTCTGAAGAATAGAAAAATCCCTAGAAGACTGTCCGGAAGCCTGGGCACACAGGGAAAGTGAAGGGGCACCACGGCAGGGTGGCAGCATACCATTCCATGATGATGAGGAGGCAGCGCTTGCCGTGATGCATGTTCTCATACACGTCCAGGATGCACACAATGTGGGGCCCACCCGAGGCCTGCCAGTGGTGGTCCACCTCCTGCCGGGCCTTGGGGCTATCGTACAGGAGCTGTGAGTGGGTGGCAGAGAGTGTGTCACAGCCTGCTGCCTTCACTTTGCAGATAAGAACATGGAAGCTCAGAGAGGCCTGTGCCCTGCTAAAGGTCACCAGCTTGCGAGGGACAGAATGAAGACTTCATCCCAGTTTCCCTGCCTTGTGGTCCATGAATTTCTGGACTTGAGGATCAGCTCTGGATGCAAGCATCTTGGTCAATAACTCCAGAAAGCCCTGGGAGTAGCTGACAGGCTGGAAGGGCTCCACAGCCAAAGAAGCCCTGCCTCCTTCTCAGGGGCAACAAGTAGAGTGGAAATCAAGTGGGGTTTTAGTCAAATCACACATTGACCATGGGACCCAAGCCAGGGAACACATATCCCTTGGGCCTCACTCTGACAGTAGGGATGACAGCATTGTCCCATCTCAGGCCAGGGTTAGGATTTGTATATGGCAAGTGTAAGGATGGCACCCAGTAAATGCTATGTCCTTGGGGACCCCACCCCATGATCCTTTCTTTGTCCAGCACCTCTGTGTAAATGTGGAGGGTGCTGGAGAAAAGCTGGAACAGGGGTGGTGGTTGAGGGGAGGTGTCTGGCAGGCAAATATGCCCTGAGTTCCCAGATGATCGGGAACTTGCTAGAGCCAGAGGAAGACTTCCCGAGGAGAAGGTGAAGCCTGTGCGCATCCATTCAGCCCTCTGAGACCCAGCCTCAAGTGGAGGGAGACAGGGCTGTACTCCTGGAGGAGTGAAAGGAATTAAAACTTCAAATTCTCCAGAAGTGGGCGCAGGAATAAAACTGTCACTACTGAGAAAAGTGCTTCTAAAATAAGTTGCTTGGTCATGACCTCCCAGCTTCTGCTTCCAAGGTAACTTTGTAGCCTCCCTGGTAGCTGCTATGCAATCAAGATAGGAAAATGCCATCCTTGCTGCTAGAGAAATGGGACTACCTCAAGGTGACCTGGCTGCCAAGGCTGCACCCTCATGCTATACCTACAGTCCCCAGATAAGGACTCAGAGGTAGAGGTGGATAGGGCAGGGCGGACTCCAGTGAGGGAGATGGCAGCTGGGTGGAGTGGAATGGAATTTGGGGTTGAATCCTCCAGTGACTTGGTATGACCTCAGCCAAGCAGCACAGCTCCAAGCTGCAGCCCACAACTCTGTAAAACCGAGTAATAATAGTCACCCTCATGAGACCCATCACAGCAAGGCAGGCATTAGGCGGCAGGTGTCAGGATCTTTGTTCAAGTTAACTCAACCCTGGGCTGTGTAAGGCTGATCACTGGAAATGAGCAAAGCCCTGAGCAACCCTGCTAAGAGAGGAGCTGCAACAGGAGAAAGTGGGCAAAGGAAGAGGACCCAGATTGGGGAGAGCAGAGTAAAGCCATCCTCCAGCAGACTTGCTCACACAAGACCCAGCCACATTTTTTTCCTAATGTAAGAGGGCTGAGGACCAGGATTGCTGTCCAAGACCAGAGCTCAGTTCAGCCCTGCCCTGCTCAACACCACAGGGCCCTGCCACATACAGTCCTTTATTTCCTCCTCTGTAAGATGAGGAGCAAGGCCATTTTACACAGGGCACACGGAGCAGGCTGTAGGGGCCAATCTCTCTAGGTTAGGGTAAACAGGTGGAGAACAGTATCCGAGGGAGGGGAGAGGAAGGCAGTAGTTTCTAGAATGTGCTCCCCCTTGGTTGTTTCTCCACCTCCAGACCTGCTTCCTCCATCCCTGCCTGAGAAAACAGGCAATGTAAGTATAGGGCTTGTCTAGCCCCTCTACCAGTTCTGGTGCCCTGCTTCATTCCTCGGACCAGAGTTCAGTATAGGGGCACTGCCTAGATACCATGGGGCCTTGTTTACCTGTGCCTAAGAGCACCCTTGAGGGCCTTGCCCACATAGCACTCAAGCACCAGCTTCTCACCACTCTCCACACTGAGAGCAAGGACTCAGTCACTTCCTTACCACAGCAGCCCATGTCTGCCATATCCTGAGGGGCTTCAGCCAGGAAATCCCTGTCCTCAGCCACAGGATCCAAGATGCACCATCCTCCTCACCACATCCCTTTGCTCTTTCACCTCCTAGTCTTCCCCCTACCCTTTCCCTCTGCTCCCTACCCCTGTCCTCTGCTCCCTAGCCTGACCTAACCATCTCTATCAATTCATCCAAGCTGGCTCCTGGACTCCCTCCTCACTCCCTCCGCCCTCTGGTGTCTCATCCCCACACCAGATTCTTCTCTCATAAACCTCAAGTCTGCAGCTGAACACTTTCAGTGGGATCCTCAGCCCTGCCTCTCCCCTTCTGGCCTTCCTCCACCTGTGAACACAGAAACCCTCCAGGCATCCAGGTGGGCCTTGTCCCACTTCATTTCCTACTGCCCCAGCCCAAAAACACCTCTTGTTTTGGCCAAAATGATGCACTTGCTGTTCCCAAATAGGCCTCACTCCCAAGTGTCTTTGCCTGTGCTAGTCAGTAGCACGTGATTCTTGCCCCCTCCTCTCCTCTGACTCAGCTTAGCTTTATAAGAAAACTTCTGGGCACAGATCAGAGGTCTCTGCCTCTGGAAAGTCCTCCCACTTCTCCCAAGTTTTTGCCTCTGTTTCTCCAGTGAAACCGAGACCAGGGAGAGGGCAGAGGCAGGCTGACTAACTGTGAGGGTGGGGGAGTCTATGGCTGAGCCTTCACAGGTAAACACAGGTGTGGAAGGGAGGAAAAGAGGAAGGAGGTTGGCCATGAAAGGACCAGGAAGCCCAGAGCTGGACCTTCATCTGTGCTTTGTTGAGTTGGAGGAGCAGGTGAATCAGCCCTTAGTTGCTTGGGCAAAAGATAGGATGAATGTGTCAGGGTGCACCCAGCTCCATATCCCGGGCCCTATACAGCCCATATTTAGGAACTCATTCCCACATGGATTAAATAATCCTTCTCGAGTGCCACTACCCTGACAACAGACATAGGACAAGGAGAGGGCTTCCCTGGAAAACACGTTAAATATTTCCTCCATCCTTCGCAAAGGAGTCCACAGTGCTGAGGCCTGGACCTAGACCTGCTCAGGCCCAGGTGCCAAGAAATCTCCTGAGCCATTACTTTTGACCCCTTAAAGGACCCTAAACATAAAGCCTGTTTCCCCATATTCCTCCTCCAGGACTCTCCGTAATGTTGCCTCCTCTCAGAAGTCTTCCCTGACCCTCTTGTCTAAAAATGGATCTCAAGGGTCCCTTCATCCTGGTTTTTCTTTCTCTATATATTTTGTTTGTTTATTGAGGTATAATTTAAAATAAAATGCACAGGTTTCACAATTCAATGAGCTCTGAAAACTATACACACCCCAGGACCCACACCCCCATCAAAATGGGAAATATTCCCAGCTCCCCAGAAAGCTCTCATGTCAGCACCCTTTTTACCTCCTATGAGCTCTCACTCACAACCTACAATTAGCTTGTTCCTTTGTTAACTCTTAAAACAAACATACACTGATACAGAAAGAAGGGGAGGTTATACTTTTCATGTGCCTGGCTCTGTTTAAAGTACGTTATAAATATTAGGATGAAAGGACTTCATTATCATGGTTTTTGTTTTTTGTTTTTTTGGGTTTTTTTTTTTTTTTTTGGGGTTTTTTTTTTTTTTTTTGGGGTTTTTTTTTTTTTTTTTGGGGTTTTTTTTTTTTTTTTTGGGGTTTTTTTTTTTTTTTTTGGGGTTTTTTTTTTTTTTTTTGGGGTTTTTTTTTTTTTTTTTGGGGTTTTTTTTTTTTTTTTTGGGGTTTTTTTTTTTTTTTTTGGGGTTTTTTTTTTTTTTTTTGGGGTTTTTTTTTTTTTTTTTGGGGTTTTTTTTTTTTTTTTTGGGGTTTTTTTTTTTTTTTTTGGGGTTTTTTTTTTTTTTTTTGGGGTTTTTTTTTTTTTTTTTGGGGTTTTTTTTTTTTTTTTTGGGGTTTTTTTTTTTTTTTTTGGGGTTTTTTTTTTTTTTTTTGGGGTTTTTTTTTTTTTTTTTGGGTTTTTTTTTTTTTTTTTTTGGTACCAGGGATCGAACTCAGGACTTTGCACTTAGTGAGGCAGGCAGCAGAACCACTGAGCTAAATCCCCAGCCCACATTATCACTATGTTTTAGATGAGAAATTGAGGCACAGAGCAGGAAATAACTGGTTCCTGATCACATGGCCTCCCCAGCCAGGCTGGCACCCTGCTACCTCCCTCATCAGATCGAGGAGGGAAGGCAAAGAAACTCTTACAATGCATCAGACAAGATAAGACGAACGTACAGAGGCCCCAGGCAGGCTCACAAAAGGGAGATGTGATATCCTGTCCAAGAGAAGCCTATACCTAATCTATTCTCTGGTGAATCAGACTTTACCTCCTCTTACAGGGGGCCCATCAGGACTGCTCCAATCCACCAGGCATTGCTATCTGGCCTGCTTCATGCGAGTACTACATTGACTCCATATTATCCTTCATAAAAGGTGTCCCCATGCAAAAGCTCCATCTTCCTAGGTACAGAAATGAGCATAGGGTCAAGGAGGCTCAGGTTCTACCCCTATTTTCAGTACGACTTTGGGCTAGCCCCTTTTCCTCTCTAGGCCTGTTTCCTCAGTAAGCAGCCACAGGTCTTGGCCAGACTGGGGATAACAAAGGGGACCTTTGGTCAGGGGTCTTTGCAAAGTTCCTGCTGTGTATACTCCTTCCTCACTACTCTGGTGAAACAGCCTCTGCATTTCCATGGACTCCATATCCACCTATATGAGCCAACTGAGCACTACTTGGAATGGGCAATAGTGCCTTAGGGGCTGGGAATGTAGTTGAGCAGTACAGCATCTGCCTGGCAAGCGTGAGTTCCTGAGTTTGATTCCCAGTACCAAAAAAAGAAAAAAGAAAAAACTAAAAAGTGCTTTGGTCCCCAGTCATAGCTGAGAAGACAAGAAGAGTAGGGGAGGGGCTTATGACAAACCAACAGACTCCATACCAGTACTTCTCTGATTCTGACCAAATGTTTCTTGAGCTCCCTGGGGATCCACCAAAACTGTAAAGTCTGTA